CGGCGGCGGCGGCGACGACGACGACACGACGACGACGACGACGACGACGCGACGCGACGAACGACGACGACGACGACGACGACGACGACGACGACGACGACGACGACGACGACGACGACGACGACGACGACGACGACGCGGACGGCGGCGGCGGCGACGGCGACGACGACGACGACGACCACGACGACGACGACGACGACGACGACGACGACGACGACGACGACGGCAAGCTCGTCCTGTCGGGGGGGACGAAGGGGCAGGATAGCAAAGGGCAGGGTAGAGAATCGGCTCACGTAGCTGGCTTTCCTGGCGCCTCCTGGCGCCAGGAGGCGCCTAGGTATCGAGGAATAATACGCCTGGCGGCGGGGCGGAAAGCAGCTGCACGCGGCAGATGTCGCAGCTCCCCCTTTCTCGGCCGCGCGCAGAGGGGAATGATGGGGGGAGGGAGGGCTTCTCAGCAGCACCCCTGCTTCCGCGGGCCCCGTCCATAGATGTGGGGCCAGCGCCTTCTGCGCAGCAGCCCCCTTCTGCCAAGCCTTCCCCCCTCTCGGCGGTGGACAAACCTCCCTTTAGTAACCCCCCCCCTTGGTGAAAACGGCCTGGGACCGAAACCGACGGACCCGGACCCGCAACAACGACGGCCGCGACGCCCTCCCGCGAACCGAAAACGGCCAATTCCTCAATCGACGTGTCAGGGTAGGAGGTCTATCCACCTCCGACCCTCCCCCCTCCCCCCTCTGTGCGCACCGCCAGCCTTCCCCCTCCTGCCCCGTCGTCTGGCCCGCTCCCGTGCTGCGGCCTGTGGGCGCAGAGGCCGCGGCCGAGCGGGGCGGGGCGGGGCGGGGCGGGCCCTCTGGGAAGGCCGACGGGGCGGACCTCCCCAGGCCTGCGAAAAGCGTGGGGCCCAAGAATATACACAACCGCCACATCCATTCGCCCCTTCCTCCTCCTCCTCCTCCTCCTCCTCCTCCTCCTCCTCCTCCTCCTCCTCCTGCTCCTGCCCTCCCTCCCTCCTCCCTCCCTCCTCCTCTTCCTCGTCCTCCTCGTCGTCCTCCTCCCCCTCTTCCTCATCCGCCTATTCCTCCTCCTCCTCCTCCGCCTCCTCCTCCTCCTCCTCCTCCTCCCACCTCCTCCCCCTCCCCCTCCCCCTCCATCTCCTCCCTCTCCTCCTCCTCCGATTACTCCTCCATCCTTCCCCTTTTGGGGTATGACGGCTTCCCCAGCCCTTGATTCCACTGCATGCTTCTCCACATCCCTCATCAGGGCAACTCGCCTGGGCATCGTTTCTGGATGGGCTGGTGGGGCTACGCGAGGCGTCTAGAATATACACCACCACCACCTCCGTTCCCCCTCCCTCCTCCGCCCTCCTCTTTCTTAGGATGCGCGGGGATAGGAGGAGGTGGTGGTGAATATTCTTGGGCCACGGAAGCTACCCTCGCTGGGCCAGGGGCGTCAAAAAAGGACTCGGCACTAGACCCTGGCCCCCAGGAAGTGGTCCAAAGCTCCAGGGCCTCGCATGGAACAAAGACGGGCCGGTGGAGGTCCCGGTCCCTGCTCGCCCCATAGGCCCCCAAGAGTTGCCGTCAAGCTGCCTCAAGACCGACCTCCGAGACGGCCCCCAGAACGGCCCAGGGAGGCCCCAAGGCGGCCCAACCCGCAGACCCCCGAGGCGGCCTCTCAGGGCCCCCTCCTGGGACGGCCCAGCGAGGCCCCCCACACGGACCTGCCCCCATCGCCAAGTTTTTCAGCGCCGGAGCCGCGCCGGCGAGCGAGGCTCGCACGGGGTCGCACGCGCTCCGCACGAGATTCGGGGGCTTGAGAGCCACCCTCGTCAGAAGCACCCTCTACAGGTGGAGCCCAACTGGCAAACGCGCCTGCGGGAGGAATCGAACAGGACAGGACCGTTCGGTAAACGCCCAGCGCCGTCTAGTGCACCCCAGCTACGCCGATGCATCGGCGATGCACTGGCGATGCACCGTCGACGGTGGCGATGCGTCGGCGACGTCGGCGTGGAGAACATCGGGCTCCACATCCAGCGGCATCGCCGATGCATCGGCGATGCGGTGCGACTCTCCGGCCCCATCTGCTCGGACTCCATCTGGGAGGCCTAGACCATCGCCCGCGCTAGGTCGCCCATCTTCTGAGCTTGAATCGTGGATTTGTTTGTTTTCGTCGCGGTAGGGTTTTCACAGATCTTGGCCAGATGGGGTTCCCCCCCTGGGCAAAGGCGGCGTCGCACAGCGAAGGATGCTCGCTTGGGGGTGGCGCGCTGCGAGCGGAATCCCGCGCCGAGAACGGCGCGGACGCGGAAACAGGGCGGCATGCTGCAGAAGGGGACCCGGGCAACGATCATAACAGGGTCTTGCGCGAGATCACGCAACGACCTTACGCGGTGGCTTACGCGGGCCGCCAGCGCGGCACGCTGCATTGGAAATGAAGGCGCTCGAGCGCGACCTCACGCGGGGAGCTTACGCGCGAATGTCGAAGCAATCGACGACGACGACCACGAGGATGTCGACGACGAGGACGGCGACGACCACGTTCACTACGACGACGTCGGCGACGACGATCAAGACAACGACAAAGACAACGACAACGACGACGACGACCACGACGACGACGACCACGTCCACGTCCACGTCAACGGCGACGTCGACGACGACGGCGACGACCACGTCAACGGCGTCGTCGTCGACGACGACGACGACGACAACCCCGTCCCTCAGGGCCCCATGTCTGACTCGCCGACGGGGGTGCTCACGCCGCGGCCTGCGGCCGCTACAAGCCGCGGCCTCGTCGACGAGGACGTGAAAGACGACGACGACACGACGACGGCGAAGACGACGACGACCACGTCCACGACGACGACAATAACGAGGACGTCCACGACGACGCATATGATGGCGATGCTGATGATGGTGATCACGATGATGATGAGGACGACGATGATGATGATGATGATGCTGATGATGATCGTCATGCACCCAAGTATCTCCCGAATATGTACGTTATGGCGCCGCCCCTTGGCGACCACCTCATGCTTTACGTGCAAGAAGAGCTCCAACGAACTTCAATGAATCAACATCACCGAGCCTTCAGCAGCGCGGTCGGGAAGAAACGGAACCCAACCTCGGAACGACTGGATTTCGGCGAGCAGCAGGAAAAGGTCCTCACGACATCCGTGTGACACTCCTGCAACACTACTACATCAGCGCGCTCACACAGAGGATTGACCGTGGCCCTCATTCGAGCCTGCGTCTGAACATCCGAGTGGAAAGAGCCGAAGAACGCGTGCGTGTTCCAAGTCGCGATGCGGAAACGTCGCTTCGTAATGAAAGGAGGAAGAGAATTACGTGCGTCATCCGAAGAGCTATCGCTATCCAAAGGATCCCTGAAGCTTGAAAACGACGATGAACCAGACAAGGAAGAAAAAGAGAACCCCCGTCGGAACTCCTGATCATCATACTGCTCAGCCAGGTCGCGTCTTCCTGCGGGACCTGAATTACCTGCATTCTCTGGTAGCGGAAAGTCCGATTGGTTGGGAAGCCCCAGCAGGTTGTCGATGTCAGCCTCCGGGAAATTGAAGCTCCTCAAGTCGTCCGTCGCCGTGCACGCCATCCTTCAGCGGGTCGAGCGTCCCGCGGCAGAGAAACCACATGTCGCCTTTCTTAGCGAAATCGAACTCATTCCTGAAACCGTTGGCACCCATCTTGACCGACTGAGCCCAGAGGCCCTTCTGCACCATCATATCCTTCATCGAAACCAAGATCCTTCCAAGATGCCGTTGGCGACTCCGAACATCGCCAGAAATATCCGCACGGACTCGCACATCATGTACTGTGTTGTTGCGCACATCTTTCCATGCCATCGGATTCTCAGTCGTGTAGTCATGAAATTGACGAGCCTGCACGGGCGTGTCGAAGTGAACACTGTAGCTCTGACTGATACGAGCGAACTTTGCCGTCATCTTTTCGGCCATGTGCTGGGCCACGTGCTCCTTGAGCCTCTCGAAGTGTGCCGCACAAGCCGTCATCAGGAGCGGTCTTGGAAATCCACTCACCCACCGCCTGCGTTCGTCAGGAGCGTCTTCATGCGCTGGTGAACCCGTCGGCGCTGTATTTGCAGCCCGCGAGAACTTTGCTGGACGATGCGTGCTGCCTACGGACCCAGCAGAGGCAGCCGCCGTAGCCGCCTGAACCTCACTCTTCACCGTGACCATGTCGCGCTTGATGACGCCAGCGAACGTGTTGAATTGCGCCTGCAGCGCCGCGTCGGATTGGCTAGCACCCTGAGGAAGTTGAGCCGATGACGCCTCGATGCTAACAACGCGCGCCTCCAAGGAACTGATCTTCAGGATCCAACGCGCTCGTGGTTCTCCGCCAATGCCACCATCTTCGCCTCCATCTTCCAGGTGGACTCCGCGCTCGTCTCCAGGGCCAGGGCGATCCTCTCCAGATGCGAGACTGGAACAACCTGCGTGGCCTCCTCATCTGCGTCGATCGGGGCACCGCGGTCGGCAGCAGCAGCGCCTTTGCCAGAGCCTCTCCCTGACAGAACTGAACGCAAGACACTCTTCGCGCGGGACAAACTCTGGGTCACTGGGGGTGCGATACCCAGTGGTCGCGAAAAACTTGGGGTCTGTCCTCGGATCAGAGGTCTCCGCTTGGTCCACAAGGTAACCTGGAGTCTGGAGCCAAAACGGCTACGGATGATGGTGATGCTGATGATGATGCTGATGATGAAGATGACGACGACGAAGGCGACGACGACGACAGCGACGGGCCGTGGCCGTAACCTTTCGGGCCAAACGCGGGCTGCGGGACGGTTCCCCATCCCCCGCGCGCCAGCCGCCCACGGCCTCTGTCCCTGGCCTTGGTCACCACGGCCTCTCCGGGGGCCACAGTGGAAGAGCGACGCTGGGAAGGAACCCGCCCAGGGGGGGAAACGTCCAGCTGGACTTCGGCGATGCCTCCCCGACGGATTGGCGACAGGCCCCCCGATAGCAAATCCGCACGGTCTCCTGGGCGAGGCTGGGCTTTTGGGGCCCCTGTGGGCGACCAGTGGACGGTCGGGGTCGATGCTTCCCCCCCCTGATCGGCGGCGAGCGAGGGGGGGGGAGGTGAGAAGGAGAGGGCCTCCTTAGAAGGCTCGGAAGCCCCGCGGCCTTCTGAGAAGTCTCCTGAGCCCCCCCCCGAAGACGCAGAAGACTGCTCTCAGAAGGCGCGAGGGCCTCTGAGATGCCCCGCCGCCTTCTGAGAAGGCCTTCTCCTTCTCGCTTCCCCCCCTCGCTCGCCGCCGACCCGAACCCATCGCTCCGCTGACGCTGCCCCTGCCGGGGGGGCGGGGCAGGGGAGACCGGGAGTCAGCGGAGGCAAACGGCGGGGTGCAGGCGGCCCGTGGGGCGGCCCTTGCGCCGCGCGGCGTTTGCAGGGGGGGGGGGCGCGGGCGGGCGGCGGCCGCGAAGCCCACGGAAACATGCGGCGGGTTCCGGAGAGCCCCCCAACGTGGTGCCACCTCGTCGAGGCGCATCTTCGGCTTCCGACGAGCCTCCACCGAGCCTCCTCCGGCTTCCGCCGGCGGAGCCGCCTCCGTTTTGCTTCTGCCAGCTTCCCCTGGCCTTCCTCCAGGGAAGGGATGCCAGCTTCCCCACTCCTCGAAGACGAGGCCCGTCGGGAACGCCTCATGTACAGTGGAGGCCAGTCCACAGGAAGCCTTCCACAAGAAACCCAACCCTGAGACCCCGGGACGTCCATTGGTTTCTGGTGTGGGAACGTCGCGCTTCCCATCGCAAGACCATCGAAACCCAAGCAACCCAGGGCACCCTGGAGGCGAGCAGGGTATTTCTTGGCATGGGCCTCCACTGTAATACTCCGCATCTCCGCTTGGTCTGTCCGCCCCTGCAGTCCTCGTGTTACCACGGGGAACGCTGCCTAAAGAGCGAAGGGGCTTCTCCCCCTGTGGCGAGCCTCGGTCACGGATAGGTTCAGGTCTGGCATGTCCTCCTACAGGCGGACTTGAGAAACAGGAAATAAGAAGAGTCAAAACAGATTCAAAAATAATTGAAAATTGCAAAAACCGTCTCCTTACTATTTTTGGACTATTCTGGAAATTTCCTCCTGCTGAGGGACATGCCCGACTTAAGGATGGGCTCCACGACCTTCCTCGGAGAAAGGGCCTGAAAACGAATGCCTGTCCTGATCCCGAAGTGGTTCTTAATTCAGCGTCTTGACTGTGTTGCAGCTGCCGAGGGAGGCCGATCATGTAGGTACCGCCGCCCTCGGAGACTCTGCGGGGGGGGCGCGGCCGAGAGAGTCGTGCGTCTTCGGTTCTCGTCAAGTGGGGGGGGGCAAGAGAGGAACGAACAGGGAAGAATAACCGATATGTATGTTGGGAGGAAGGGGGAAGGGGGGACCGCTTCAGCTGCTCAGCACACCTGGGCAATCAATTGCACGCGACAGGTTGCAGGCTGGTGGCTCTCCATGCAAGGCCTCTGGTCCTACCCAAATGCGCCTCTCTCTTGTTGTCTTAACTTCCAACCAAGTACGTTCGATTCTCATGTCGTGTCTCTGTTATTCCCCACCCGGCAGGCTGGGTCTGTCAGTGAGATTAGAAGAAAAAAACTTCCGACCTGCCTCGCGCACACTGCATACCGCGGCTGCCAGGCCCAGAGTGTGCTGGTGCTCCGCGGAGACCCCGCTTCCCGCCTTCGCAACAGCCAGCAACAGCCAGGTGCAAAGTCTGCCAATATTTGTTGAGGATCCCGTCTCGCGTCCTTGGGCGAGAATCGCTCGAAGTTGAAAATCATGAATGTTGTTGGGAATACCGCTCGCTGCTGATCAGTCCCGATTCAGGGGTAAACCCGCGAGGACTGGACACGTGAGGCTTGGCCTTGGCCCGATGCTCCTCCTCCTAATCCTTACTCTTCGCCTCTCTATCCTTCTTCTTCTGTAGACAGAAGCCCTATATGTATCCCTGTATCTCTACATGTGTGTACTTGTTTTTCGTTCGCATGCTCTCTCAACTTATACATGGTATGGTGGGATTTACAACATTGAACCCATTGGTGAATGGATGCGTCTGCGTGCGCATGTATCTGTATATATATATATATATCTATATATGCGTGCAATGGTATATATATATATATAGATGACGGTAGATGTATACATTCATGTTTCAACATACATATGTAGCGCTGAGAGTATATCGCTCTCCATCACTGTGTTCTTGTTTCTGAATCCATTCACATCTGTATCTGTATATTGAACCATGTGTCTCGCCCCCTATCTGCAGATCACCCGGAACGGGCATACACATGCATACATTTGCACACACACATCTTACATATAGCCATATAGCAGTGCACATCGCATTATATTTTACTTCCCGCCATATCACAACGTACGCATACACGTGCACTGTTTTTTGGTCTGCATATATGTATAGATGCTCGCCAGCGTAAGCCTCACATACTGTGTTCCTGGCAACATATGCTGTGGAATTGAAGTTGGGCAGCACATGTGGTCCAATCTACATGGTGCAATCAATGTTGGGCAATGTATGGTGTGCCACCTATTGTGTGCAACATCTGATGTGCAATCCTTGTGGTGCAATCAGCGTGGTGCAGCATACGTGGTGCAATATACGTGGTGCAATGTTTTGTGCAATATCTGTTGTGCAATGCATGCGCTGCAAACTATGTGGTGCAATCAATCACTTGCTCACCTTTAAGCTGTCCTTTCCACTGCTCGTGCAAACATCCCAGTCTCCCACCCGCAACTTGGTCGCAAGACCTCTTCAGACCGTGACGGTGGGTATCAAATGGCGCTCGGCAACGGCACCGACGCCGACGACGACAGCGACAACGACGACGACGCCGCCGACAACGACTACGACGACACCGACGACGTCTCCAACGACTTCGACGACGACGACGACAACAACGACGACGACAACGACGACGACGGCGCCGACGCTGACGACGACGACGACGATGACAACGCCGACGACGATGCCGCCGCCGACGACGACGACGACGCCGACGCCGACGACGACGACGAAGACGACGACGATGATGACGACGACGACGTCGCCAACGAAGATGACGACGCCGACGAGGGAGGAGGGAGGACGACGACGGCGACGACGACAACGACGAGGGAGGAGGGAAGACGACGAAGACGACGACGGCGACGAAATAGGAGGGACAACGACGGAACGCCGACGAAGACGCCGAGGGAGGAAGGACGACCACGGCGACAAAGACGACGGAAACGACGACGACGCCAAGACGTCGACGACGACGACGACGAGGAAAGACAGAGGACGACGACGGCGTCGACGACGACGGAGGAGGATGGCGACGACGATGACGACGACGCAAGAGCGCGCGCACGCTTTTGTTGAACATCCGTGTGGCGAAACCTTGCGTATGTGTATGTTTTTGGACACGCGATTTTGACATCCTTCCGAGACCGAAGGTTCTTGAAGGATTTCGGCATGCGGGCGCGACGACGCGCGCGTCTGCACTTCGTCCCATTCTTTGCAGAGGATTCTCGCGACGGCACGCGCGCAAGGGCGTTCGACAGATTTCGGCATGCGCGCGCGAAGCCCGTTTGGTAGCATGTTGTGCAAATCTTGAAAAATCTAGGGTTTTCCTAAACTTTCGCAAGAGCGCGCGCGTAAGCTTTTTTAGGACATCAGTTTTGCGAACCCACACGTATTTGTATGCTTTTTGGAAACTCGATTTTGAAATCCTTCCGGGACCGAAGGTTCTTGAAGGATTTCGGCATGCGGGCGCGACGGCGCGCGCGTGTGCACTTCGTCCCTTCTTTGTGTAAGGGATTCTTGAAAACTTATGGTTTGTGATAAACGAAAGTGCGCGCATAGTATTTGTTGCAAAGGATGGCGGGGGGAGTGATACCGGTTCGGCTGGGATAACATGAGCTCATATTTAGGATGGCAGAGTGTGTAGAATAATTGTGGAATCGCAATACCCCAGGGGGGATCGTTAACTCTGGGGGGGGGGGGGGGGGGTAGAGTCTATTCTTCTTTTAGAAAGGAGAATCTATTGGTGCGCAGTTAATGTGGTGCAATCGGCGTGATGCAGTTTTAGTGGCGCTGTCGATGTCATGCAATCTATGTGGTGCAATCCATGTGGCTAAGCCTATGCTGTGCAATCGACGTGGAGCAATCTATGAGGTGCATGTGTTGTGCCATCTATGCTTTATTGTATGCTACACCAATATTTCTTGTGCAACCAATGTGGTGCAAACAATGTGGTGCAATCCGCCCTTCCGAACTTGAAATTGTCAACTCCATTGCTCGCGGAACCATCCCGCCCACCCACCCGCAACTTGGTTTGATAAGCCCATGAGGTAGCAATTGCGATGGCGGCTTGGGGCTAGGTGGCACATCGCTGCAGCCGCGCAAACGCGCGCAGGCTCGAGCGCAGAGCGACCAGCTGGCCTGGCGCGACGGGTGCGGCCGCGGTGGCGCTGACCGCTGAGCATGTTTAGTTTTTATTTTCTTGTAAAAATATATCCTGGCGAAAGACCCGACCAGATGCAGGTCTGAATAACGCAATGGTAAATACTGTCCTCGGTGGAGCTTCCTATGGGGCCACGAGCCGTGTGATGGGTGCTCCGACATGGGGGTGGGTGGAACTGCATGCGAACTTTGTCACTGGGGCCTTCGGTGGAGCTCCCCATGGGGCCACGAACCGTGTGAGGAGTGCGCCGAAAAAGGGGTGGAACTGCATCCGAACTTTGTCACTCAGGCCCTCGGTGGAACTCCCTATGGGGCTACGAACCGTGTGAAGGGTGCGCCGAAATCGGGGTGGAACTGCATGCGAACTTTGCCACTGGGGTCTTCGGTGGAGCCCCCTATGGGGCCACGAACCGTGTGGGGGGCGCAGAAAGGGGGGTGGAACTGCATGCGAACTTTGCTACTGGGGCCTTTGGTGGAACTCCCTATGGGGCCACGAACCGTGTGAGGGGCGCGCCGAAATGGGGGTGGAACTGCATGCGAACTTTGCTTCTGGGGCCTTCGGTGGAGCTCCTTATGGGGCCACGAACCGTGTGAAGGGTGCGCCGAAATGGGGGTGGAACTGCATGCGAACTTTGCCACTGGGGTCTTCGGTGGAACCCCCTATGGGGCCACGAACTGTGTGAGGGGGGCGCCTGAATGGGAATGGAACTGCATGCGAACTTTGCCATTGAGGCATGCAACAGAGCTACCTATGGGGCCACGAACCGTGTAAAAGGTGAACTGAAATGCGGGTGGAACTGCATGCGAACTTTGCTTCTGGGGTCTTTGGTGGAGCTCCCCATGGGGCCACGAACCGTGTGAGGAGTGCGCCGAAATGGGAGTGGAACTGCATACGAACTTTGCCGCTGGGGCCCTCGGTGGATCTCCCTATGGGGCCACGAACCGTGTGAAGAGTGCTCCGACATGGGGTGGAACTGCATGCGAACTTTGCCACTGAGGCCTTCGGTGGATCTCCCTATGGGTCCACAAACCGTGTGAAGGGTGTGCCGAAATTGGGTGGAACTGCATGCGAACTTTGCCACTGAGGCCTGCAATGGAACTCCATATTGGGCCACGAACCGTGTGAGGGGTGCGCCGAAATGGGGGTGGAATTGCATGCAAACTTTGCCGCTGGGGCCTTCGGTGGGGCTCCCTATGGGGCCACGAACCGTGTGAGCGGTGCGCCGAAATGGGGGTGGAACTGCATGCGAACTTTGCTACTGGGGCCTTCGGTGGAGCTCCCTATGGGCCACGAGCCGTGTGATGGGTGCGCCGACATGGAGGTGGAACTGCATGCGAACTTTGCTTCTGGGGCCTTCGGTGGCGCTCCCCATGGGGCCACGAACCGTGTGAGGAGTGTGCCGAAACAGACACATGCAAGGGGCAGAGGCAAGGATGATGATGATGATGATGATGATGATGATGATGATGATGATGATGATGATGATGTTGTTGTCGATGATGATGATGATGATGATGATGATGATGATGATGATGATGATGATGATGATGATGGGGAGTGGGAGCGGGGGCACCGGGAGAAGGAGGGCACGGGCGCTGTCTCTTCAAAACAAGGACCCAACACCACAGGATGGTTGGGGGACAAAACAAACCCTAAGGAGCTCTCTGGTGGCTCGCGGACCCTGGGCCACGGACGGTGAACGATCTACACGCTTCCCGCGGCAGCTGGCCCATTCCAGAAGCCGAGCGGCGGAGGAGGCCACGAGAAGGCGCGAGGCGGCGGCTATCAGATTAAAGAAGTGCTGCGGCGACACCTGTGGAGTACCCTACAGGGTCAACCCGAAACTCAGATGAAGAAAGGGCCAACATCGGGCCGCAGCTAGGAGGCAGGAGAGGCAGCGAAGGGGAAATAATAGAAAAGAAAGCGAATGGGCAACCAGCCGAAACAATCAACACCTGACAGCACCGTTGCTGGGTGGACGCCGGCGTGTCGCACTAAGCGCGGGCTGGGGGAGAAGGAGGAGAAGAAGGAGAGACGCCAAAGGAGAGTGACAAGCCACCGAATGCTTGTCGGAACACCTCGCGCGTGCGAAGACCAGATGCTCTGGGCAGTGCCAGAACCGGCGCGCGCACAGGAGTCCCACGCGAGTCTGGTGCAAACTGGGGTCGCAGGCTGAAGTGGGCCCCGAATTAGCCTGGTTGGAAGGGCCATGCCGCTTCGCCAGATGAGCGGGCACCTATTAGTGCCACGGTTGCCGATGCGACGCAAGGTGCAGGAGGAGGAGGAGGAGGAAGCAGGAGGACGAGAGCGAACGGCAACATCAAATAAGGTTCTGAAACCGCGCGAGCGGGGCGCAGGGCACGGGAAACTCCGAGAGCAAACCGTCCGTCTCCCCCTGGGCGGCGGACGCCGCCCCCCAGACCGGGGGACAGCGCGCGGATTAAACAACTAACAAAAACATGCAAAGCAACTTTGTGGCCGAAACGGGAAGGACGCAGGAGGCGAGGGGCGGGGGAACTGAGCACTACACCGCTACCATCGGACGCCGTCCCCCTCGAGGGGGCCACAAGCCCAAGGCAGGGAGAGGACCGCACCCCGACGACGACGACGACGACGCCGACGCCGACGACGACAACGACGCCGTTGACGACGGCGACGACGACGACGACGAGACAAGGGCGACGACGAGGACGACAACGAGAACAGCGGCGGCGGAGGAGGGAGCTGCGGCGGCGGAGGCGGCGGCGGCGGCGGCACGACGACGACGACAGGGGAGAGGGGAAGAGGAGGGAGGGAGGATGCCGCAGGAGCAGAAGGATGGGGGGAGAGCGCAGCGGTCCCCTGCTACCCGAGGCGTGGGGCCCCCAAGGGGAGGCGGTGGGGCGAATCAAAAGATCGAGTTACGGACCTTGGCCTTCATGGCGGGGAGGAGGTGCCTGTCGTGGTCGAACTCTGGGACCATCTGCCGGCACACGGGGTACGCGACTTCCTCGGTCGGCGCTGACCGCTGGGCATTTCCCAGCGCGTATCGCAGGTCGCGCTGACGAGCGGACACTTCAGTGCGAGTCGGTAACTCGGGGGGCGGCGCGGTATCATGGCGACGTTGACAACGGCAAACACGGTGATGATAGTAGCGATAGCGATGCTGGTGAGGATGATGACGATGACGACGGCAAGGCGAATGACGGTGCGGATGCTGATCACGCCGGTGACGATGATGGTGTCCACGTGTCGGTGGTGAAGGCTGTGGACGGAGTTCGACATGCGCGTGCGGCCGACGCGCGCGAGTGGCCCGCATGGTTTATTTTGACAGGGGTCGTACCACCCCAACGCGCGCGCAAGGTCGTTCGACTGATTTCGACATGCGCGCGGGGCCCGCGTGGTCGAATTTGATGACCAGATTGAAGAAAACTTGCGGGTGCATCAGAATCCGCCCAAAAGCGCGACAACTGTTTTGAAAAAAACAGGTTGCGACACCAGTGGTGCTTGTATGCTCTCGGGGCACTCGATTTTGACATCCCTACTGAACCGCTGGTTTGTGAAGGACTTCAGTCCTACGCGCGCGACGACGCGCGCGTGTGGACTGGATCTCGCTTCGTGCATGGGGCTCTGACAAACTGATGATTTGTGATAAGTGAATGTGCGCGCGTCGTATTCTTTGACGAGGATGCAGGGAGGTGTCGAACCCCGTGGCTGAGATTGTGCGAACTCATACTCAGAATGAGCTATGGGGCAGAGAACCACATGTACGCTGCACATCCCCAGGGGGGCGCATAACACCCGGGGGAGATACTAGTTCCTTGTTACAACGGAGGACCGATGTTGCTAATCTATGTGATGCAGTCGACGTGTGATGGAATCGGGCTGGTGCAATATATGTTATGCAATTAATTTCTGTTCGCAGTGAGTTGTTCACTCCACTACTCGCGCAAACATCCCACCCACCCGCCCGCAACTTGGTTTGCAAAATCTCTTAAGACCGTAAGGGTGGGTACCAACTGACACTTGGCAACGACAGCGACGCCGACGATGACAGCGACAACGACGACGACGCCGCCGACAATGACTACGACGACACCGACGACGTCTCCAACGACTTCGACGACGCCGACAACGACGACGATGACGACACCGACGACGACGACGACGACGACGACCCTGACGGCGGCGACGACGACGACCATGACAACGACGACGACGATGACGACGCCGACGACGACAACGACGACACCGACGACGACGACGTCAACGACGCCGACGACGACGACGACGACGACGGCGGCGACGACGACGACGTCGACGTCGACGACGACGAAGACGACGACGACGCCGACGCCAACGATGACGACGAAGACGACGACGACGTCGCCAACGAAGACGACCACGAGGGAGGAGGGAGGATGACGACGGCAACAACGACGACAACGACGACAACGACGAGGGAGGAGGGACGACGGCGACGACGCGAACGACGAAGGAGGAGGAAGGACGGCGGCGCCGACGACGACGACGACGACGAGGGAGGAGGGAAGACGACGACGACGACGACAACGACGACGACGACGACGACGGCGACGAAATAGGAGGGACGACGACGAGGCGCCGACGACGGACGACGACGACGACGAGGGATGAGGAGGAAGGACGACCACGGCGACAACGACGACGGAAACGACCACGACGCCAAAGAGGACGACGACGATGAACACGAGGAAAGACCGAGGACAACGTAGGCGACGACGACGACGCGGGAGGAGGGAGGACGGCGACGACGACGACGACGACGCAAGAGCGCGCGCGCACGCTTTTGCTGAAACTCCGTGGTGCGACACCTTGTGTTGTTGTAGGTTTTTTGGGCGCACGATTTTGAAATCATTTCGAAACCGATGGGTTTTGAAGGATTTCGGCATACGCGCGCGACGACGCGCGCGTCTGCACTTCGTCTCATTTTTTTGAAGAGGATTCTCGCGACGACACACGCGCAAGGGCGTTCGACAGCTTTCGACATGCGCGCGCGAAACATGTTTGGTAGCATGTTGTGAAAATCTTGCAAAACCGATGGTTCTCTTAAGATTCCGCAAGAGCTCGCGCGTAAGCTTTTTTAGCAAATCAGTGTCGCGAAACCCTCTGTTTTTGTTTTTTTTGGAAACTCGTTTGCGACATCCTTCCGACACCGAAGGTTTTTGAAGGATTTCGGCATGCGCGCGCGACGACGCGCGCGTGTGCACTTCGTCCTATGTTTTGTGAGGGATTCATGAAACAGTCTTATGTTAGAACAAACAATGTCACCGCGCATTGCTTCTTACAATGGAACCTCAGGGGGGCCGATACCAGCCCCACTGGGATAGCGTAACATGTAAACTCATGTTTAGGATGGACATGTGGTCATGATCATCTATGATTTACATACCCGAGAGGGGGGCGGATAACGCCTGGGGGGGAAAAGGGTAGAGTTTATTCTCTGTTTAAAAAGGTTAATATACAACGTACATCCTATGTGGTGGAACCGGCCTGGTGCAATTTATGCCGTGCAGTTCACTTGTGGGGCTCGTAATTGTCAACTCCACTGCTCGCGCAACCATCCCACCCACCGACCCGCAACTTGTCTTGAACAACGCATGTGTCGGCGATTGCGATGAGTCCTTGGTGTTGGCTGGCGCATCTCTGCGGCCGCGCTCGCCCGCGCATGCTCGCGCGCGCAGCAGCCAGCTAGTCTGGCGCGACCGACGCGGCCGCGGTGGTGCTGACCTCTGGGTACGTCCCAACGGGCACCTCAGTGCGAGTCGGCCACTCGGGCGGGCGCGGTATCATGGCAGCGTCGATGACGGTAGACACTAGGATGATTGTCGCGACGCCGCTCGCGATGATGACAACGGCGTCGGGACAGCCAATTGCGGCGCCGATGCTGATCACGCCGACGACGATGACGGCCTACGTCGTCCTCGCGTCGGTGATGAAAATTTCGGAAAGAGTTCGGCATGCGCGACCGGCCCACGCGCGAGAGTGGCCCACATGGTATCATTTGTCACGGATCATGCCACCCAACACCCGCGCAAATGCGTTCGAGTTATGTCGGCACGCGGCGCGAGAAACCCGTTTGGCCGAATTAAGTGACAATGTTGAACAGCCTATGGTTTCTTGAGAGGTCGCACAAGCGCGAGCGCATTGAACACTAATGTTGCAAACCGTATCTCTGTATGTATATGTATAAGGTTTTGGGGCACTCTATTTTGAAATCCTTGCGGTACGCAAGGTTTGTAAGGATTTCGGCATGCGCGCGCGACGACGCGCGCGTGTGCACTTCGTTCCGCTGTTTGCAAGGGATTATTGCGACAGCAAGCGCTCAAGGGCTTTCGAACGATTTCGACATGCGCGCGCGAGAGGCTCATTTCGTATAATTTCATGAACATGTTGAAGAACCGATTGTTTCCTTGAGAATTAGCAAAGGCGCGATCGCGAACTTCATTTGAACATTATTGTTGCGAAGGCATGTTTTTTTAAATATGTTTCCGGTGCACTCGATTTTGGAATCCTTGCGAAACCAACTGGTTTTGTCGGATGTCGGCATGCGCGCGCGACGACGCGCGCGTGTGCACTTCGTCCCGTTTTGTTGCAAGGGATTGTTGACCCCCTCTGATTTTTGATCGACGAGTGTGCGCGCAGAGTATGTTTGGCAGAGGCTGCGGGGGGGAATCTTTACTGGTTTAGCTGGGATGATCTTAGGATGGACGATGGGGCAGAATCAAGTGTGCATTGCAAGACGAGAACAGGGAGCAGTTAAGTCCGGGGAATGCGGGGGGAGGCAGATCCTCATACTCTTTGAGAAAGGCGAACCTATGTGGTGCAATTCATATTGCGCGATCTATGTGATGCAATCTTGTTGTGCAATCTAGGTGGCGATGGGGCGGCGACGGCGAGCACGCAGCAACCAGACCGCCACCGAGGCCCAGACCAGGGGCGGCGACGGGGCGTCGACGGCGAGCACGGAGCCGCCATGCCGGCCTGCAGGCCCATACGACGGGCGGCGACGAGGCGGCGACGGCACTTAGCCGCCAGACCGGCTGGCAGGCCCAGTTCCTTCGAGAAGAAATAAAACCCTGAAATGCAAGCGCCTACTGGGGAATAGTGCTTGCTTATGTGTGTATATTGCACTGTCAACTCATTTTGCTATTCCGCCGCCTCCTCCCTTCACTTTGTGATGCTCCCTCCTCTCGGGGTGGGGGGTGGGCATGCGGGGAGTCCCCTGCCGTCAGCCCCTGGCCCCTGGCAGGCCTCTGCTTGCCGCCTGGCGGGGGCGCCTCCCCTAGCTGCCTGGCGGAGGCCGCGGGCGACGTTGCAGGTCTCTGCAAGCCTCGACCAATACGGGGAAAGGGGGGGACCTTCTTCCTGCTCGCTCCTCCTCCTCCTCCTCCTCCTCTTCCTCCTCCTCCTCTTCTTCCTCCTCCTCCTCCTCTTCCTCCTCCTCGTCGTCCCTCTTCTCCTCCTCCTGCTCCTCCTCCCTGTCCTCCTCCTCCTCCTCCTCCTCCTTCCTCCTCTCCTCCTCCTCCTCCTCCTCCCCTCTCCTCCTCCTCCTCCTCCTCCTCCTCCTCCTCCTCCTCCTCCTCCTCCTCCTCCTCCTCCTCCTCCTCCTCCTCCCCCCCTCTCCTCCTCCTCCTCCTCCTTCTCCTCCTCCTCCTCCTCCTCCTCCTCCTCCTCCTCCTCCTCCCCATCCTGCTCGTCGTCGTCGTCCTCTTCCTCCTCCTCCTCCTCCTCCTCCTTCTCCCTCCTCCTCCTTCTCCTCGTCCGCGGGGGAAGGGAATGGGGAGGAGGCGAAGGGCGAAGAGGAGGGGGGGAAGGGTGGGGGGGCAGAGGCAAGGGAGGGGGGGAGGAACAGGGGGGCGGGGTTCGAGGGGGAAGAGGGGAAGGCGGAAGGGAGGTGGAACTGTGTGGATGCGGTGAGGAAGGGAAGGCGAAGGGGAAGGG